TTAAATAAAAATAATTTATATTTAATAAAATAAATTAAATAATATTTATTAGATTGACCAATTAATTTGACCGATCAAACCAATTCAATTAATTAAACCAAATTCAATGACCGAAACGGGTGAATTATCGAACGGAGCTTTAAAACATTTTTTTACAAACACATTTTAGAAAAGGAAAAGCAAATGGGCAAAAGCCAAAAGGTACCCATTGCCTTTAAACTTTTTGAGTTTAAGGGATTTTACCTCTTATATTATAATATATAAATTTTTACCCTTTATGGTTTCTAGTTTAGAAAAATGAGGTAAAATTTAACGTTAAAAAATCACGTGCTATATGTGCATTGTTACTTTCGTCATATATTTACATGTCAACGTCAACTTAGATTTTTTTGACATGTCAATAAGTCTAGGTTGGACACTTTCCAACATTTTTTTTTTTTTTGTTCCTCCCTTTCCTCTTTCTCTTTCTCTCTCTTCAAGTTTTACAAATCCAAACATCTTAACTAATTTCTAACATCTCAACCAATCTCTACCTTCTAGTTTCTTTATCATCATCAAACAATAAAACCCACAAAAAAAAAAAGATTTTTTTAAAAAATATTTTTGCCATTAGTTCAAAGTAAACTAGGCGTGCTAGGTTCCATCTAATTATCGAAAAATTTGATTCAAGCAATCCCACTGCGAAACGCAAGCCCATGTCGAAAAAAAGCTATCGCCACTAGCAGCCACCCCTTAGCAACCATTGACAAAACAATTCCCAATTCCTCCTGAAGCCAACCAAACCCCTTCCTTCTCACCAATCGTTGACAGGGTAAGATAGCCATGCCACCTCGTCGTCCAAAGCAAAGCAGATCGGTAAACTAAGATACACCACTCCTTTTCCCCGACCCCCACTGCTTCCACCACGAGATCGAAATCTTCCATGGCTAGAAACTTGGTCACCACCTTTATCATCCTTGTATGTTCCCCTTCTCACCGCCAAGACTCAATGAATCTACAGGAAACCCCACAATCTGAGCAAAACCAAAATCCTCATCACACAAAAAACCCACCCCCATCAAAGAGAGACAAAATCCTTGGCTTTTAACAAAAGAGATGAAAAAGTGTTTTCTAGATCTGCTTAAATCGAGAGATCTGATTCTTGTGGATATCATGTATATCGTACATGATGTAAATAAAATTGCATTTTTATGTAGAATAAATCATGGAAATTGAACACAGAACAAGCATGGGGAGACCAAGAAGAAGCAAAAATAATAATAATAATAACAATAATAACCAACCTAGGCCTTGGTTACTCCATCGCCATCACCCTTGGTTGCCTCGTTCTCCTCTCCACCATCCTCCTTGCCTCTTACATCTACTGTCGCTCCTCCCCCCTCGCTCCCCTTCCCACAACCCCACCATCGCTTCCACCTCTGATGGGATTGTTCTCCCGAGGATTATTTTTGTTGCCAAAGATGATGACCAGTAACCCACGCATGGTATCCAAAGAACCCATGCATTGGGTTCCTTTGAACCCAGCACGCCTAGGTCCGTTGGAACCCAAGTGCAAGTTCTTTCGAACCTAGGCGCTAAGGTTCGAGGGAACCCAAGCATTGGGTTCGATGGAGCTCACGCTTGGGTTCCTTCGAACCCAATGGTAGAAAATTAAAAAAATTTCTTTTTATTTTTTTTGTTTGTGAGTTTTATTATTTGATGATGATGATAAAGCCATAAAGATAGAGATTGGTTGAAATGTTTGAATTTGCAGAAGTTGAAGAAAGAGAAAAGAAAAGAGGAAAAGAAGGAATGAAAAAAAAAAATTATTGGGAGGGGTCTAGACTTGCTGACATGTTAAAAAAATCTAAGTTGATACTGACATGTAAATTTATAACGAAAGTAATGATGCAT